GGGGGGGGGGGGGGGGGGTGTTACAGGCAAGTGCACAAACTGATAGACTTTTATGTGCACAAATTTCCCCTGCAAACATAATTATGGAGGATGTAACATCAGCTCCAGTTCTCAGTACAGTTTTTTTTCAGATTAGCAATGAAATTCTCCAACATTTAAGATGCAATGTGGAAAATGATCACTGACATTTCAGGCATATTCCATCTTAGATGGGTTAATTTTAAACAATCAACTGAAGAAAGTGACTAATTTTTTTCTGGAAATCTTTGCCTTTCACATGCAATGTTTTTTTTAAATTAAATGTTCACATGAAAGTACATAGCATGTGCTAACAAGTTCTTAAGTTATCCATGCTTTATTTAATTCATATAATCTAAATGTAATTCTGTGTTATATTAGGTTCTTAAAACAGCTCTAATATACAATTTTGTGTTGTCTTTATTATTTGGTAAATTTCTTTTTTTGAATGGCTGTAGTAGTGGTTTCATGTTATACAGATGCTTCTGTGGAGTAAGAGGGATTAAGATAGCAGTATACAGAAGAAAAGAGAGATATGGCATATCATTTTTAAACATCTTCTCTCTCTCTCTCATTTTTAACATAGCAATTATGAGGCAGTAAATTTTGTATTGAAGGCTGGGCAAACATACCTACAAGTAATAATTATGGTATACTTTCATTTAGATTACCTATAATATTGATGAAAACCATCAGCATCACAAAAATGACAGAACAGATGGTCACGTCGTAAATGTCTGAATAATTCATCACTGTCCATATATCGTTGATCACAAAATTCACATAATGGGTGGCCTCTATGTGATCTGTCATCAGGGTCACCTTTACGACGATGTAAAGCGAGTTCCTGTCGTGTGTAACATCTTCGTTCACCAGTGAATATCTGAAAATATCAGTAATGTGTATAAAAACATTGAATATCAAGCTCAGAAAAGAAGAAAAACACATCAGATTTGAGGTTCTTATCAACAGTGAAGATGGTGATGTTGGTCTTCTGGGTTGTAATGCTGTGTGAACTTCTAGGTAGATATGAATGTTTTGGAGAAACATATAGTCATTACCTTCAGTATGTTACTCCAAAACGTTGGTATCAACATACAAGTCCACATAGCATCATAATCCAATGGCCATATTCAACAATCATGAGGTAAAATTTGAATCAAGTACAGAGAGGGAATCATTAATATCTATTTTCACTGCAATTGGTGTGCCTTTAGTCACTTTACTAGGACCTTCACTGGCTCACATAAAGCCAAACTGTTCAAAATTAAAACAGTTCACTGAACAACCCTTAAAACAGCAGTACAAATTTCAAAGCAATGAAACATACTTTGAGCTCAGTGATGATAATAATATGTAACTTATTCTCATGTCACACCTAATACTGTTACATACAAATTCAACGAAAAACATAAAAAAGAAGACTTCCTTAAGTGAAATAATTCCTATCTTACAGACAGTTTTATCCACATTTAAGTTTTACGATTACCTTCAAGTTTTCAACACATAAATCACAGTACTGCAATTCATGTTCCTTCCTCATATGATCTTTAAGATTTTGAAATGTTCTAAATGCAGGGCGTCCTGTGCAAACACTGCACACATGTTCCAAAAGTCTGCTGTAGGCAGCTTGTATGTCTGCAGTATCGAAACATATTTTAAACTTTTTATCCATTAAATACGAATAGTTCTTAATATTTCGGAACAGCTGCACCTCTTTGGTAAAGATAACCTGTAACAAAACCATTTTTAAAATCCTATCAATTATGCCAAACCTCAGCACAAAAATTCCATATGATAAAGCAGAAATGCCCTTCATTATGTTAAAACACAAAATTATTAGAAAATGTCTGGGAATTTCTCGTTATACCTTAGGCATATCTTGTCTACAAATGGGACATTCATTCTGACGACATAGCACTCGCATTCTCGTGGAACATTCGTAACAAACTGGATGGTCACACTCGCCAACAGAATATATAACAACATTTTTAAAGCACACAACACACGCATTTTCGGAATTTTCTGTAATTACGTTTGATGTCATGTTAGTTTATACTACGCGTTCAACTTCCTCCAATTTCTTACTCTCAGGCAATCTATGTACATAAAACTGGTGATTTGTGTGCGATCCTATGATTCCCTGCGTTTCACCAAGTATGAGATAATTTCAAATCTTCTAATGGAAACAATATAGAAGAAAACAACAAAGAAACTGAACTGTGCAATCAAAAGATAATTCACTCAAAAAGCATAACGTTCACAACCTAATATATGTTAAGTACATACTATTGTACTATGGTTTCATTAGGTTCTCTTTATCTTACATAGAGAAATTCCCACTTGCAGCGACTGATATGCAGATTTCACTAAGGTGTCTTTATCTAGCATAAATAAATTCCCACTTGTAGCGACTGAGAAGCAGGTTGTGACGTTTTGGTTTTGATTGTGTAAAACGGACCATGTGATCGACTAAATCGGATTAGAATATAATACGTGAAACCATTCAGTTACTATTGAATAGAGTTATAGACACGTAACATCATTTAACAATATGCATTATATATAAAATTATTTATGTTTTTTAGAAATATTTAACATGTTTCAGATTTTTTAAAAATATATGTATCAAGATGAGGTTGTGAAATGATTTTGTTTGTAACTCGTAAAAACATGGACGGAGGTGGAGCGTACGGAGGTGGGAAAGCTGGTGCTCCGATTGATCCTATTCAGTTTGTACAACGACCACAAGTTATTTTAAGGGCGCTTTGTTTGGTAAGTTATGTTTCAACAGTGACTTAATGTTTGTTAATCCCTTATTTTTACACAGGTGAAAAATCTCAAGTAATCGATTTTGACAAAAGGACCGCCATGATTCGCCCAAAAGTGGGGGCGAGTCAATTGTAAAGATAATATTGATTTTTCTGTATATCAGAATGTTATTATTATTTAGTGTTCTGTCTGACGACAGGTCCATATGAACAGGATCCTTCCATCCTTTTCTCGGACTGGGACCTGTTCATATACGTTCTTGGCAGATGATCCAGAAGTGGTTTGCCATTGCCTTCTTCTGTGTGTGAATGGAGTAATTGTTGGGATGCCACGGATAAACCGGGGAAGCCCCCGGTGGAAAACTCCGTGTTGCCTAAACCACACGTTATTTTAACAGCTGTTCATATTGAATATATCTTTAGGCGTAAAATATGTTGCATGTGTGAAAATTTGGAGGCATGATTTATGAGTTGTAAGCCTTCATTTTCTGTTGTATTTATATGTTGTTAGTGGTTCTTTTTTTATTGCAGCTCTTTGCAATCATTGTATTCGGCTGCATTTCATCACAAGGTTACAAATATGATCGAGACGAAGACAAGGAAGTTTGTCTATACAATAAAGACAACAATGCCTGCAATTATGGAGTTGGGATTGGAGTCATTGCTTTCCTGGCATCAGTAGCATTTCTTGTTGGTGAATTCATGTTTGAACAGATGTCATCAGTGAAAACAAGAAAGCACTATGTTCTTGGAGATTTGGGATTTTCAGGTTAGTGGACAGATCACAGACATAATTGACGGCTACTTTGAGTTTCCAACTGTACACTCGCTAATCCTACAGCTATGCTAGAAGAATATAAAATTTCTGCTGTGGAATTGTATGTATGTTACACCTTCTTCCAAAGTTGCACTCGTGAGAGATGTCATGTCAATAAGAAGTAATGTTAATAAGTCTTCAACCTGTCACTGAAGTTTGGTCTATTCAGTTGTATTTATGAATCACGTAGGCTACAACCATCAACCCTGTCAGTGAATCTTTAATGAGATGCAGCTGTCACTGAATTTCAGTGTTTTATGTTGTACTAGACTAACAAAACTCGATACCCCTTCTTGTGTTTTAACATATTGTGACATGTTGCCTTGAGAGCAGCATAACAATGTCAATAAACAGTTGTCTGTTTATTGACATTATCGCGTCTGGCATTGTTGTCTGTTTATTAACATTATTGGGTTTGGCATTGTTGTAATCGTTTATAGACATTGTTGTATTTGGCATTGTTGTGTCTATTTATAGACATTGTTGCTTTTGGAATTGTTGTATTCGTTTATATTGTTGTGTCTGTTTAATGACATTATTGTATTTGTATAAAAGCCGATTGACAAGCGGCTTTAGGGGGTCCCCGATCACGGAGGCCATCAGCTGAAGTGATCTCCCCCCCATGCCGCAGAGGCCTTCAGCCGAAACGGCCCCTCCCTCTCTGGGTTCAAACCCCGGAGATCCAACCAACCAAATTCCTTTGGACAACTTGCCTGACGGGATAACCTCCCATCAGCAGCAACAGATCTCAGTTTGAATGGTCTAGGCTCCCACCACGGCGTAACCCTGTTAGCGTCAGCAAAATTTCCGTTTTTTCTAGTTAAGACCGTGTACCATTTCCAGCAATACGCCTTGTGCGCAGGTATGGTGTCACCTAGGTAGGGACGATGCTTGCGCTTGCGCAGGACTCCGCCCTCAGTTAGCTTTTTGGTTGGTTGGTTGGTTGGTTGGCTTTAGGGGGGTTGGAACGGGAGAGTGTTGAAGAGTGATTGGAAAGGGAGAGTGTGGAAGGAGGGTGCGAAGAGAGCTGAAGTGTGAATCGCTTGTAGGAGAAGTGTGTTGTAGACGAGATTATTTTGTGCTGTAAAAGACATTTTAGTTTGATAAAAATTGATTATTGCTGGAGGACATCGTGGTCTCTTACAATCCAACCAAGTTTACAATTGGATCGGATTTGAGGTAGCAGACCCCAGAAGAAATCAAGGGTCGACAATCAAGGTCGTATACTATCCCACGTTACAATATGTTTAAAATTTCCTTTTAATTTGACCACTTTTGATAAATTCATAGGTGGAACCCTGACAGTGTTTTAAAGTTGTACTTACATTCTGGCTAATAGGAACTCTTCATACTTCAGGTGCAGTGATATATGTGGAACATTGATAGAATGGTGAATTTAAAGAAAAATACTATTAAGTAGCTAACATACTTTACATCACAAAGTTTGTGAATGCTTTTAAAACTTGGTAGTTTAAATAAATGCATAATTAGAAATGTTTAAGCATGAAGGTTTCTATTTTCCCTGGTATAGATCACATTGGTATGTTCCTGTTAAACAAATGAGTGGTGAAAGTGTGTAGCCATTTTGTAGAACTTTTCGTATGCTTATACATGTATATTTGTTTTCAGGTTTTTGGGCATTTTTATATTTTGTTGGTTTTTGCTATCTGACAAACCAGTGGAGCAATTCTGAAACGCCAGAGGGTGGCTTCGGAGTGAACAATCTTCGAGCTGCTATCACTTTTTCTTTTTTCTCTATCTTCACTTGGGTATGTTCAGGGATTCTTCTAGTATTTTTGTTAGCTTTCGCATATGTTCATACATACGAAGTGATGTGAATGTTGTAGCCTTTTGTTATACCAGTAGCAGTGAGATGTGCTGTTTGATGTTGGAATAGTGAGTTAGGGAGGGATGCATGGTCTGTCACATGAATAAGTGGCAAACATTTTTCTATATTGGTGACAGTAAATTCATGTTACCCCTGTAATACAATATATTAGAAATATTATATTTTTAGCATCATTTTAAGTGACAGGTTGTTATACAACCTGGCATTATGCTAAGGTACATTTCATTCTTATTCTATTTTTAAACTTAAACTGTAGAAAGATGCTTATGCACCTTTAACCCGTCAGCAGCAGCAGCAACAGTTACTTGATTGATATTTTGTCCCGCAGGCTGGATGTGCTTGGTTTGCGTTTCAACGATTTCGCCAAGGTACAGATGCAGCATTTGCTCCAAGTTATGAGGCAGATCCAGGTTCCATCCCTGGGGGAATGCCGTATGCATCATATCCTGTTGAGCAGGAAGGTGATGGAGGATACCAGGAACCTCCATTCTCTGGTAATCAAACCAGAGGTACGCACCACATAATTTGTGGATGAAAGTACACTCCAAATGGAGGAGTTGTAGACACTGTTTAATGTGATGATGATCTAGAGCCGTGGTATTCAACCTGGGGTACGTGAAATTTAAAAAAGAAAATTATGATAAACACTGAATCATCAGTAATGTAATTTATTTAATTTACTTTAGATGTAGATTATATACTATATATAACTTGAATTATACACCAACAACTTTGGGGGTACAAAGTTAAAGAAAAATTATATCTGGGGGTACGTGAACTAAAAAGGTTGAATACCACTGGTCTAGAGAACATTTTTGCTACTTGCTGGCATCATTGAAAGCTGTTAGAAGAAGGTAGTAGTTCTGGGATGATTCAAAAAGCCTTTCTTCCCATGAAATTTCACAACCCACTTTTTGTAGCACACTGTCAGTGTTACCTGAGAAGTTTGCATGGCCAGTATTTAGGTGTTGTTGATGGGAATAAATTCCTGTGGCGTAACAGCCCTCTGAGAGCCTAAGACGACTAGCTGGCTGCTGGCCTGACGTTCACATGGCTATGTAGATGTGAACGATCATCCAACCAGATATAGGGTGAGTATCAATTCTGGTGGAGGGCTTTGGTGTTGTCGGTGTTGGGCCTGCAATTTCTGCTACCAGGGAGTTAGTTAGTTAGCTTATCACTACAGGAAGCTGCTTAACTGGGCACTGTAACAAAATTTTATCTCAGTAAGATGAACAGGACTCTATAAACAGAATTTTAAAAGAACTGAAAGTTGCTTCACCTTTCTGTGCGTTACATATCCTGACTTTAAAATGTAACAGAGTTCCATGTAACATTACTTAGAAAAGTGACTTGCTTGTGCTGGTAAATGTAAATGTGTTACAAGGTTTAGGAGGTCATCGACAATTACGATGTTATGGTCATTAGTCACCTACCCTTTATTCATTCAAGATGTAGGGTTTGTAAGATGTCAGTTTCTTCATGGTACTAATTGGTTTGTTTGTTTTCAGGTGCTGTAGGCACAGATTTCCAAGCTCCTGCATATTAAACCTTCTGGCAGCATAAAAATAGTAGTGAAGAAACCATGTGTCATACTTTTTTTTTAAAAAGACACTTGGCTGGAAATTTGAAATGTGGTTTATAACCCATATCTGCTGTCTGAGGGCATTGTTTAGAAATGATTTGGAACTGGATTGCATTTCTGAACAAGTAGTAGACATTGGCAGAAAGGGTTGGGCATAGCAACACTCTAGTTGGTACCAAATTTAACATAAACCATATTTTCCCTGGGAAATGAGACTTTTGTTTTGGAAGTTATTAGCAATGATGCATAGACTGTGTGTGCGCATTTGGTTCTGTTGTGGTAATGGCTGAAGACATGTATTCCAATTCAATGTGATTTACATTCGGCTGCAGTGCTTGGTTAATTATGCCGTGGTTCTTTGGCAGTGGATTAATGCCAATACTGAAATTTGTAATTATAAACATTGTGTTGTTTAATTTTGTGTGTTGTACTTAATACTGCTGTTTTGAATTATATGATACATTTGGCCATTTGATTTATTGTTCAAATACCATTTATAAGGTATTATTTGTGATGGTTTCAAATTTATTTTCTTGGATAATCTTTGCCTTCAAAGCAGCAAAAGCAACATCCATTGTAAATATGCAGGTTGATTAGGGACTTCATATGTTTGCTTCTGTTTCAGAGTTCACACAATATTGGTTCTTATTCAAGTAGAAGGGTTTTAGAAGCAGACAGCAAAAACTCTTGATTGTGCTCTTGCTTTGTAGCTGAATTGTAGGGGGTTTGAGCACTCTGTATCATTATGAAAAAAAATATGTTCGTGTCAGGTTAGACTTCAGTCTCATAGGTCCAGTTGGTAAAGCTTATATTGTCGTGGGACTATGTCCTTTGAAAATTATGTATTGTCTGGATGAAAACTATGTTTTTAAACCTGCCTCTGCCTAAACTTATTTCAGAACTTGCCCCAAAACAGTGTTAAACTGGTACAGTATGTTTTTCACTCTTCCTTTGGACCAGCTTGGTTTGCAAAGTGATTATGGACTGAGGGACAAGCATTTGATTCCTAGCTGGACATTGAGACTTTTATCTTCAGTTATGTACATTCCAGTGGATGTTAGGGATACTTTCCCCAGGTCTCGGCTTCAGGTTGGTGTCAAATCATCAAGGTCTTGAATATGTGGAATTATACCTGCAAATTGTCCATACACATTTTGATGTAATGTGAAGTTGTAGTTCATAACATTAATTTACATGTCTTGTAAATTTATGTTGTGCCCCACAATTAGAACATATTCTTTGAATTCATATTTTGGTAACAAAAATGTAGAATAGACGAAGACACAGTTTCATTGCTGGGATTAGACCATATAAATCACATTGCCTAGATCAGGAAAATGAAGGGTCAAGAAAGGAGTGCTGCCTCTGTAATAGTATTTTGTATCAAGCTGTTTGATGTGTTTAGATAAGATTTTAAGTGTCATATTTGTGCTTTGACCCATTTCTAGCTTGCAGTTTGCTTTGATTTGTATTTAGCTATGACTGGCTTGATGTCTGTGTCCTCATGATTTTGACAGACTTGTCAACTACCCAGCGGTTCCTAATTGTAGTTCTTGTTCTGCATCATTTGTCAGCCTTTATTTATAGTTGCATTGTTAGAAGTGGGAGTACAGAGGTAATTTCAGTGTTGAACTCCATTTTGAGAGTCAGTGAGTAAAAGAAATACGCATAAGAAAGATCTAGTCAGTATTTCCAAATTTTTCCAGGACCTCTGGTTTTGATGACATATTGCAGAGATTTGTTTTTTGTGTGTCCTTTCTCTCACACACCTTTCTAGTCTTGCTTGCAGCATAATGGTTTTTTATTTACTTTTTGTTATGTTTTTATTTGTTTAGCACATGTAGGCTCAACTTTAGATGTAAAGGTATTATCAGCTTGTATAAAGAAATAACTAACATTCAGAGAAATTTTGCACATAAGTTAGTATGATGATTTGTCTTTGTTGATGTTGTGTACACACGCCTGAAAATGTAAATGTAGAGAGCAGTGTTGTAGAAAAGATGTGATTTGGGTATTTTTTTGCAAAGTATGTTACGGTGTACAAACACTGAGCCATTTATTTGTGTTGCCAAAAATTTTTATTTATCAGTTCATATCATTTGGCAGGACTCTTCATAATTTATGTGGCTGACAACAAAATCCATTTATGACCTGCCAGGTTTATGTATTGTAGAAGGACATTTTGTTTATGTTCCAGCAGTGACGTATCACTGTCCTGACATTACTGATATAATTGTATATATATTTTTAAGAATGCTAGGGATTCTTACCCACATGCTCTTAGGTTACAGGAGGCCTTATGTACCTATAGGTTTCACTCACAGTTAAGTAACCAACTGCCAAGTCTGAGAAACTAGGACATCTTGCTTGACATACAGGGATTTTCTGGAAAGTTGAAGCCGAAATGTCTGCGGAATATATCGCAACATGAAGTATTGGTGAATCGGAGATGTGTTAATACTCAGTAGTAGTGTAAAGTTGTGTACTGCCAATGTGCGACCTTTATCAAGGGTTGATGCCCTGACTCGACCAAGCAGTTGGGATATATCAGGTCTGTCTTAATGGTGGCAGCCCCAAGCATTATAGTGAGGCCTTACTCTTTGTGGTAACAGTAACCAGTCTGTTCTGGTTCCAAGAAAATTCCTGTTAAGTTTGTCCAACTGACTCAGCTGATTAAAAAATATATGTAAGCTCTCTTTTTTTATAGATTAATTGCATAAATATTTACAACACATTTTCAATTAGCAGTTACATTCTTTTTAATGCTGTAAAGAGCAGTGAGAGTAAATCCCCCAAAATGTAAATTATAACTGTAGATTCAACAATTTTTGTTTGCATAGATCACGTTTTGAAAATGAGGATCAGTTAGAATAAAATAAGTCCACATTTCTGTTTAACCTTTGTCATATAATAGGGGATTCAAATCGCCCTACTATGGAGCTGCTGGCTGGTCTTTAACTTTGTAGTTAAAGGTTTTGCAGTATGGTATTGCAAACACTCTACTAGCTGGATTGTGTGTAAGCTGTCATGTAAGATTGATAAAAGTTCAGTGAATCTGTTAATTAAAGAAAAAGCTTAAATGAGCATTTTAAAAGGAAGAAGGATTAAAAATAAACATATGTGTCACAACACAGTACCAGTACAGAGGGGTAACAGGTATTGCACATAATAAGAGGGCAGAACTGAGTAGGATTTGAGGTCCTCACAGCAATGAGTATGAAGATGACTTTCTTTTGGGTTGTAGCACCATGTAGTCTGGTAGACGTTTACCAGTGTTTCAGATGTCCTTGCTGCCTTCATCAGCAGGACGATGACAGAGGCAGCAAGAAACTCTACTACGTCAAACAGACTACATGTTGCTACAACTCGTAAGACAGCCATCTTCGAGATTAGAACCATTTCAAGCTTGTAAAGAAAGTTGTGGATAGGACTTTATTGCCAGTATCTAATCTATTGTAACATTAGTAATATTGGGATCAGCCACTAGCCTGGAAAGATTGTTTAGATGTGTACATTATTGTGGGAGAGTTCTCTTTCCTATGTCCATGATGTGACAACACTAATCTGGAAGAAATCCAATCACAGCTTGCTGTTGTCAGTTTACCATACAGACAGCAGCAGAGACTGTACAAGTACCACTCCTGTTTCTTTATTGGTATTTAACATATTTATGTCACATGAAAGAGCAATGTGAACCATAGCTGGGTGGAAGAAGACAAAATTGGTTTCCGAGTTATGGCACAGATT